CAGCTGTTAAGGGCTCGATTTATTTGTGAATTAATGTTGGTTCATGAAAAAATAATTTCATTCGGGCATTAAAAAGAGGTTATGGTGGTATTGGAGGTAGGACACAATGGTTACTTTTATGCCAATAGTGGTCATATCATTCATTTTTCTGGAGCCAATATGTCGGGAGTCATTTTGTCAAAAGCCAATATGTCGGGAGCCCAATTGCCGGGAGCCAATATGTCGGGAGCCCATTTGTCGGTAGCCAAAATGTCGTGAGCCCAATTGCCGGGAGCCCATTTGTCTTGAGCCCTTATGTCGGGAGCCAATATGTCGGGAGCCGCTTTGTCGGGAGCCAATATGTCCTGAGCCTATTTGTCAGGGGTTAATATGTCGGGAGTCCATTTGTCGGGTGCCTAAATATCGGGAGCCCATTTGTCGGGAGCCTATATGTCGCAAGTCAATATGACGGGAGCCCATTTGACGGGAGCCAATAAGTCGGGGCCCTTTTGACGGGGCTATTTTGACGGGGTCGGTTTGTCGGGAGTCGATTTGACGGGGTCGTATTAACGGGGCCGTTTTGACGGTGCCGATTTGTCCCGGGCCGTTTTGACAGGGCACCAGTTAGCGGAGCCCATGCCCAGACCACTCAAGCCACCAAGTCCTCCAATACCTCCAAGTGAAGAGGGTGTTTGAGATATATCTGGGGCAATCCGCGGGGTAGCTGTTGAAGTCCTAGGTGGTGAGTCTTGCACAGTTCTGTTGGCTGATTTAATGACAAGATGCACTGTTAATCCATCTTTTATTCCTTGTTGCTCAAGGGAGTCCTCATCTTTCATGATTTTCCAGCAAAGATAATACACAGCTGCTCATAGGGTGCATTAAAAAAAATTTTTTGTATTTCCTCCTTTAGCTCTCGAACAGAAGCTCCGTCTTTCATCTCTACGTTATGTTTCTCTTTAGGAGTTTTAACGGTTATTGTTTTAACACCAGATTTTCCGGAATTGTTAACGTTCTCCGCCATGTTAAAACTGTGTTACGGTGTATTTTGGCACTACCGTCTTAATAGGTTGCCGACCCCTGATTTAACTTCGTATCAACAGATATAACGAAAACAAAGTTTATGTCATGTTTGAAAAACTTTATTTATGGTTTTGGAAAATTGTTTACAATAAATTTTGAAATATAAACAAATATTATTCAATTAATTTTTAGAAATGAGTATGGTAAACATATACTTATAATATTTTATGCTGTATTATTGCTGTTAAGTAATAACAAACGCTTTCAAAATTTGACATATGTATGAGTAATCGTTTTCTTTTTGGTAGATTATCTTTATCCTCTCCCATAGTCTTGGTGATATTGCCCCCTAAGTGCATATTTAAAATAATGTAATTGTGAACTTAGAACAAATCGAAATGTATTATTTCTAAGTTTAATTTAATTTAATTAAGAGCTGAAAAAAACAATAACTTTTGATTTAGATTTGTTTCTATTATTGTCACAAAGAGCTTTTAAATACATTTTTATTTGGAAATATCTTTACATGTTCATCAAAATTATATACTAATTGTAAAACAGATCTCTATATATCAACGTTACTAAGCCAAAATGATGCTCAATTTAAAGATTTGTACTGTTTCATTACTGATTTCTTTCGCCAAAGTTGTCTATTCGCAAGGTAAATAGCAGTAATTATTATATAATTAGTTTTTAAACTTTAAGTTTAAACTTACTAAGTCTGCCAAATTGTTGTATTTTATCTGCTCCGAATTAGCCAAAAGAAAATCGTAAATGTTAAGACTACGTTGTCAAAAAAAACAACAAAACTCCAGCTTGGAGGGAGAAGAGGTTGGCTGATATATGACGTCATGTTAGGGAGCGGGGAGATGGTTCAGAAGTTTCATGACGATATAAAGACGAAAGGGTAGATTAAAAACGGTTAAAAAGGGTTATCGCAATTTAAAGACAACACCTTTGCTTACGTAAACTTTGTTTTGACTTAATTGAAACATTTCAGCGACGTGTATCAGCCCAAAAGCCGTTGCGTTTGAGGAAAAATGCTTTGAGGTGTTCACAACACCATCGTCTTGGTATGACGCTGAGGTAAATTCTCTTGTTGTCTACAGTGGTTTCACTAGATAGGGTGTCACCCGGTGTTGTAATTTAGGGTGGCACCTCATTTTAGATACGGAATCATCCCTTATCAACAGTATTAAATCATCAGTTGAAAGAAATGTAATTTTGTAAAGCACTGTAAAGTTTTACGACATTTGATTTAGGGTCACGCGGTTAATTCTATTAACTGGTGCCATCCAACTCCAGCTCCTTAGCCTGCTTTATTATAAAATTGGTTGTCTGTTCTTGACTAATCTAACCTACTACTATGTAGTAATTTTAAATCATGAATGTTGTTTTTCTTATGTAAGCTGGGTAAAACTCATTAGAATATATGATCATGTATAAACGACAGAAATAAATGATTGTTTCTTGTTTTTAGCAATACTGCTCAATGGTTCACGAAAAAAGAACGCTTGCAACAGTTTCCTCGCTAAGTGAATCTGTTTTTTTAAACTCTCTAAAGCCAAACGGCTCTAATGAACGTAGGTATTTGTAAAGCATAAACCTTTATTTGCTCTTATATAAACAATGTCTTTTAAATTTGTCAATAAAAATAAAGTTCTGCTTTCGTATTATAAATGTCGCGTAAAATGTCAACATGCTATGCGCCAATAGGCCCGTTGACGCCGACTTCAGCCTACTATCCTCTCTGGATTTGCTTTTATTGTCTTTGTCTAAACAAGAACAAACAAAAGACAGCATTTACTATTAATTTCAGTAAACATTTTTTTACCTTAAAACATTCGAATCGCCCACATATGTAACACAAAATTACCATTTTAGCTATCTTCTGCATTTATATCAATCTACAATTTTATAAAAAAAATAATTCTTAAACTTACAAGAATTTTTTTTAGTAACGTGTGGTTCAAAGTAATTGGTATGTATTCCAATAAAAATTTAATTATACTTTTCCCAAGTGTGGATTGGAGGTTATTACAACACACATGAAGGTAAATGGAGATGGAGAGATGGAACAGTTGCCAACTTCAGTTCGTTATGGAGCCCTGATAAACCTAATAAAAAAACGGAAATTGAATACTGTCTTGAGATTTTTAAAGACGGAAAGTTAAACGACGAATCCTGCAATTTACTACGTCCATTTGTTTGCATGGATATGCCTGGTTAGTATAATTTAAAGGCGGATGCGTAATATTTAACAATTTTATTGTAATATTTTTGCTGAGTAATTCCCTAGCATGTTTTTATAAAGTAAGGTATTCTAGCTCAGTTTTGTTTACTTTCTTAGACAAAAATATATTTGCTAATACAGACGTAATCTTGCGGTTTAAGGAACAAGTAAGAACTTTGCAACGGCATCTTTTTAAATAATTTTATAAAAAATCTTTTTGCTACACAGCAGGGGCGGAACTACAGTGCCGCCAGACCCCGCAATGCGGGGGGGGGGGCCGTTTAGGTGCCCAAAGCCGACCATAATCAATTTTTTTACAGTTAAAAAAATAATTCTCTTGCATTTTTAATTTGGTGGTTGTTTTGTAAAAATAATAATGCAGCTGCGGTTGGATTATCTTTATTCTATAGACAGACCATCCCGAGTCCTCTTTCTCCTACAATCAAACACATGCTGTTGTCGGCAAAATTCTTTCCAAAATAAATCCATCGCGTAAAAGATACGCGAACGTTCAAACCACTTCCATGACTTATTTCCCTTTTCTAAATAGTCAAATATGTGTGCTCTTAAGCAACTTCTAATAGATTTGCACTAAACAAATTAAAAAGCAATTACTTCTCTTAATTATTATTTGAATAAAAATACACAGTAAAGAATGGCAAAGCATATAAAGGAAATGCATTTAAATCTAATAATACAAAATCTAATCTAATTCAAAAAACATAAAAATAAACATAGGGCGAGAAACCATTACACATACTAAACTTATATGCTTCATATTCTTTCAACCGACTTTTCACAGGAAGCATTATAGCAAACAAATTTTAAAACAGTGTTGTAACTTGTTTATAATTTTTAATTAAAAATAAGTGTTTTTAATGTTTTTTTTAAACTCGAACAAGCCCTAAATGAGTATTCTATGTTCGTATATATATATATATATATATATATATATATATATATATATATATATATATATATCATCACTCCTTTATGGCCCCTGGGGAGCAAAGGGCTGCAACCACACATCTCCAGCGGACTCGGTTTTGGGCTGCTCCTCCAATCTGTGCCCATGAGAGCCCAGCTGTTTTTGCCTCTTCCTCAACCGTTCTCTTCCATGTTTTCTTGGGCCGGCCCACCCTCATTTTCCCCTGGGGATTCCAGTCCAATGCATGTTTTGCGATGTTTTCTTTTTCTTTTCTTAACGTGTGTCCGATCCATCCCCATTTTCGGGCCTTAATATCTTTCTATTGGCTGTTACTTTAAAATTTGCCAAAGGTCTTTGTTTGATATTTTGTCTGGCCATCTTATTTTGAGTATATGTCGTAGGCATTTGTTTACGAACGCCTGTAGCCTATCAGTATTTGTCTTCATAACCCTCCAGGTCTCCGAGCCATAGAGTAGCACTGCCTTAACATTCGTGTTGAAAATCCCGATTTTGCTCCGGAGTGACAGGTCCATGGACCTCCACATCGGGCGCAGCGAGTTGAAGGCACATCTAGCCTTGTTGATACGGCATTTTATGTCCTCGTCTGCTCCCCCGTCCTTATTGATCACGCTTCCCAGATATGTGAATGTGTTTGTTTCTCGTAAATCTTCTCCATTTAGCTGTATCGGCAGGTCCTGGCTGTTATTGATTCTGATGACCTCTGTTTTGTTTTTATTGATTTTTGTTCCAATTTTGGAGGCTTCTTCAGACAGCCGATTTAGTTTGGCTTGCGTGTGTTGATGCTTATGAGATAGTAGGCAGATGTCATCGGCAAAATCAAGATCCTCCAACCTTTTTGTAAAACTCCACTGGATTCCTGTGTCGTTTTTTGTGGCCCTCAGCATGATCTAGTCGATTACCATCAAGAATATCATTGGCGATAGCATACATCCCTGTCTTACTCCCATCGTCATTGTGAATGGTTTTGTTAGCTTTCCCTTGTGTATTACCTGACTGGTGGAGTCTTTGTATAGTTTCTGTGTGATAGATATAAATTTTTTGGGTATTACATAGTGGCTCATTAACTTCCAGATAGCATCTCTATTCACACTGTCAAACGCCTTTTCGAAGTCGACAAAGGTCATGTATAAGGGGGTTTGCCACTCAATGGACTGTTCGATAATGATGCGCAGCGTGGCAATATGGTCAGTACATGACCTGTCCTGACGAAAACCAGCCTGTTCTTGTCCCAGCTTTTTATCCAAGGCATCTCTAAGTCTCTCTAGGATGATTCTTGTCAGCACCTTACTTGGAACTGAAAGAAGCATTATCCCTCTCCAGTTGTTGCATTGTGTCAGGTTTCCCTTCTTTGGCAATGTTATCAGGTATCCCAGTTTCCAGTTAGATGGGATTATCTCTTCTTCCCAAATCTGTAGAGGATGTAGTATGTCTGCTGATATGGCTGGGTCTACTTCGAGTGCCTTTGGTGGGATGCCGTCCGGGCCAGCTGCTTTGCCATTTTTCATGCTTTTTATTGCTCTTATTGTTTCTAACCTTGTGGGTGGATCTGTACACACATCTAGTAGGTGATTTGCAGGTGGTATATCCGGGATGTTTGATGAGAGAGGATGGTTTAAAATATCATCAAAGTGCTGTACCCATCTGTCTCTCTGTTCTGTGTCACTTGTTAAGATATTTCCTACTTTATCCTTTACTGGTTTGATTGGATTAATGTTCTTACCTGATAGTGTCCTGGTTACTTCATAGAGCCTCTTTATTTTTCCTTGTCGTGCCGCAGTTTCTGCCTCCTCTATCATCTCCTGTGTGAACTGTCTTTTGTCTTCTTTTGCACTTTTTCTGACCATGCGATTTACTTCACAATAATGTGTTCTGAGGTTTATTTTCTCTTTTTCATCCTTACATTTGTTAATCTTCTGCTTTATCTCTTTTCTATCTTCAATTTTGGCCCATGTCTCTGTTGTGATCCATTCTTTTTGTTCATTTTTTCTTCTCCCCAATATGTCAGTGCATGTTGACTTCCATAGTTCCTGTATTCCTAGCCATTTTTGCTCTACTGTTTCCTCTACTGTATCATCTGCCAGGCTGGAGAGTGCTTCATACCTATTTTTTACTGCGCAGTTAAAGTCTTCCTTTATTTTTGAACACCAAAGAAATGTTGTATTGAATTTAAAGTGCGGTTTATCAGCTCGATCCCTGTAGGATTTTAGTTTTAATTTTAGTATTGCAACCATGAGTTGGTGGTCTGAGGCTGCATCTGCATCTCGTTTCGCCCTAACATCCATTAAACTTCTTCTCCACTTTCTGGAAACTTTGATGTGATCTATTTGTTTTTTTGTTTTGCCATCGGGTGACGTCCAGGTGGTCTTATGTATATCTTTATGAGAGAAAATTGTCCCCCCTATAATTAGATCATTAAATGCGCAGAAATCATCAAAGAGTTCCCCGTTTCACTTATTGTGCCTATTCCATTTTTCCCCATTGTGAGCTCCCGTTCTTTATTTTCTGTTCCAACTTTGGCATTCATGTCTCCCATTACTATCTTTATATCTCTTTTTGGTGATATGTCGATTTGAGCCTGCAGTGCGCTGTAGAAGCCCTCTTTCTCTTCATCTGTTGCAGCATGTGTGGGTGCATAGCACTGGATTAAAGTTGATTTCCTTCCCTTGGCATTGAAACGAACTGCTATGAGTCGTGGTGAGACTGGCTCCCATGCAATCAAAGCATTTGCTGCTTCTGGAGACATCATTATGGCTACACCTTGCGTGTGTTCATGATCTTCATCCTCGTGACCTGAATAGATGACAGTCTCTCCCGAGACAAACCTAGTTTGGCCACTGCCGTTCCATCGTGTCTCACTTAATCCTAGGACTTTTAATTTATACCTTCTCATTTTTTTTGGCGACCTGGGATGATCTGCTGCTTTCATATAGGGTTCTGATGTTCCAGGTCCCTAATCTGGTTTTGGTCTTGGGCGTTAGGAGATTTGTCAGTAAACTAGCTTCCGTTAGTCTTTCACTAGTAGGCATCATGGGCTCTTCTAGAGAGGATCCCCCTTGACCAAGTCGGTGTTGGATTTGTGTACTTGCAGTTTCTGTAGCGGTATATTTTTTACGAGATAAGGTTGCCAGCCTTATGTTTCAACCCCCAACCTGGAGGACCAGGGTGTTAGCTTTGGTGTGATCCCTACCCGCGCAGACCTTCCCAGCTTGGTTGAACCTACAAGGAGTTTACACTCCCGCTGGTATAGCTCTGGGGGTGGTCAGGATACACAAGCTGCCAAGCCACGACAAGGCTCTAATACCGGATGGCAGTATATATATATATATATATATATATATATATATATATATATATATATATATATATATATATATATACTAGCGTACCCGTCCTCGCGCGTTGCCGCGGGAATAGAAGAAGGGTTTCATCCATACGTTACCAATCCTATATTCTTAGTCGCGTAACCTTGCTTTTTTAAAAGTGAGTTATTTAAATGTAAAAAAATGCCTGCGCTTGGTTCATAAATACCGGGACACAGGTTTACCAACACTACCGCGTGAAAACCTTATGTGTACACTAATCACTCACCAAAATAATATGGTAGAACACACTTCGGTGACCACCCATGTGTCAGGACGTAGAGGGGCGCTCTCAGAGCACACCCCCCCTCTTGATTACACTACCGCATAGGCGCCACGTACGGTCTCTGGCTCCTTAAAAAATAACAGGCGCCATCGTGCCAAATATGTTAACAATAATGCAGATTGCGTCATACGCAAAAATGACACAAATGAACAGGATTATTTTCTTTAGCACGTAAAAAAGTATTTGACGTATTTTAAACACCAATGTGAATGATGCAATATGTTAGCGTTAGTCTATAATTAGATACTCGATCTCAATTTCTGATTGATTGTCTAAAAATAGATGCTAATTGCATCATTCGCAAAGTAACGAAACTGTTTGGATTTTTTACGGACAAAAAGAAACATCCCAGTTAATAATCTAACCTTTGTTAGTTTTTCTAATTATTAAAATAAAACGTATTACATGGCCCTCAGCGGCCCATGTGAGCCTTTGGGGGCCGAAACGGAAATTTTTATTTGCAGCCAAAATCGCACTCTACCAGGGCGCCGGCGGACACGCCTGATTCAATGTAGTGAGCGTTTGTAATGCCCCATCCTATCCTTTGTCTAACACGCTGTTTAGATCCAACTTAGTCGCCATAGCGCTCACGGTAAACAACAGGGCGCCAACAACATCCTGCCGGGGGGCCTCCCATGCAAAATTTAATCCCCCCTCCCACCACCATCCACCCACTCCCACCCTTCTCCCACCCTAGAAACCTTATCGGGAGTATCATCAACTCCCTAAAGTTTTATGGCACTCGGATAAACTGTGTAGAGTCGCTATCGTCTTTTATTTGTACATACCGTACATATAGAAAAATCGCATACTCCCGCGGCGCCGCCCTTGCGAAATTAAAAAAAAATTGCAGAACCCTTCCAGGTAGTGTTCTAATGAACTCCCCAAAGTTTGATGGCAATCGGATGAACGCCGTGAAACCGCAATCGACTTTTATTTTGATATACCGTATATAGAGAAAATCGCACCCTCCTGTGGCGCCGCCCTTGCGAAAATAAAAATGGCTTTTTTACAGAACCCTTCCCTAAAACGTTCTAGTCAAGTCCCTGAAGTTTGATGGCTATCGGATACCATATATATAGAGAAAACAAATAGCACCTTGCCGGGGCACAACCCCTGCGAATTTGAAAATGTTTTTAACGCAGAAACCTCCCCAGCAATATTCTTAACTTCTTCCTAAAGTTTCATGGCGATCGCGAGAACGGTGTCACCGTAATTCACTCTTGCTATTTTTATATACCACGTGTAGAGAAAAATCGCAACCTCCCGAGGCGCCGCCCTTGCGAAATTAAAATAGACGTGTTGCAGAACCCTTCCCTGGATGTTTTCTAATCAACTCCCCAAAGTTTGAGGCGATCGAATGGACGCTGTGAAACCGGAATCGACGGTTATTTTTATTTACCGTATATAGAAAAAAATCGCACCCCCCTGTGGCGCCGCCCTTGCGAAATTAAAAATTATTTTTGCGCAGAAACCTCCCCAGTAATGTTCTCAACAATTTCCCTAAGTTTCATTGCGATTGTGTGAACGGTGCCACTGCAATTCACTTTTATTATTTTTATATACCGTATATTGAGAAAAATTGCACCCTCACATGGCGTCGCACTTGCAAAATTAAAAATGATTTTTTTTACCGAACCCTTCTTTGAATTGCTCTAATCATATCCCCCAAAGTTTGATGGCGATTGGTTGAACAATCTGCAATCGACTCTTATTTTTTATATAAAGTATATAGAGAAAAAACAAATCGCGCACTGCCAGGGCGCCATCCCTGCGAATTTGAATTTTTTTTTCGCAGAAACCGCCCCAGGAATAATCTTAACAACTTCCCAAAGTTTGACGGCGATTTGATAAGAGGTGTGGTAATGCATAAACGACACACACACATACATTGATATATATATATATATATATATATATATATATATATATATATATATATATATATATATATATATATATATATATATATATATATATATATATATACATATATATATATATATTTAAATACATCTCTGGAGTTTGAGATATTCAACAATGATCCATAGTAGAATTAATAGTAATAATACAAGAAAAATCCAGAAACCGAGTGACATGGTGACGGCTTACATTCTTCTATAAAGGCACGCACAACTGTCCGCCTTATGCTCTTCTTTTATACCATTCATTCGTCAGTAAACGATATAAAAAAGCATGGAAAAAATATGATCAGTCGCTCATTTAGTCCTTCCGTTGGCCAAGTTTTCTACTTTTATACAAGATTATGTTAAATACATTATAAATACAATATAGATACAAATTACTAAAAGTGCAGTCTGTCACAATTTTAAAATGTGTACATATTTAATAAAATCTTTACATATTTAATAAAATATTTATATCTATATCTATCTATACCTATATCTATCTATACCTATATATATATATATATATATATATATATATATATATATATATATATATATATATAAAAGCAATGTATGTGTGTCTGTGTGTGTATGTGTGTGTGTCTGTCTGTCTTTTATGCGTTACTACACCTTTCATCCGATCGCCGTGAAACTTTGGGAACTTGTTGAGAATATTCCGGTGGAGGTTTCTACGAGAAAAAAAAATTCAAATTCGCAGGGGTGGCACCACGGCACGGCGCGATTTGTTTTTTTTTCTCTATATACTGTATATCAAAATAAAAGTCGATTGCGGTTTCGCAGCGTTCATCCGATCGCCATCAAACTTTGGGGAGTTGATGAGAACACCCCAGGGATGGGTTCTGCAAAAAAAATTATTTTTTAATTTCGAAAGTGAGAAGACTCGGGAGGGTGCGATTTTTTTCTACATGTGGTATATAAAAATAATATGAAATGCAGTGACACTGTTCACACGATCGCCATCAAACTTTGGGAAGTTGTTGAGAATACTCCTGGTTAGTTAGTGTAATCGAGGGCTCCCGAGAGCACCCCTCTACGTCCCTCACACATGGGCGGTCACCGAAGTGTGTTCTAGCTCATTTTACTGGTGAGTTATTAACGTAAGGTTTTCATACAGTGGTGTAGGTAAACCCGTGTCCCTTTATTTATTATCCAAGCGCAGGCATTGTTTACATTTAAATAACTCAGTTTTAGAAAACAAGGCCATGCGTATTAGAACATGGGATTGGTAACGCATTGATGAAACACTTCTTAAATATTTCGTCAGACTTTCTTATACTCCCGCGGCATCGCGCGTGCACGTGTACGCTAGTATTTAATAAATTTATCGCCATAGTAAAAGAAACTGAAACGCCTCTTTAGACCGAGCGATCCATTGGGCAGATGAAGTAGAATTCGTCATAATTTACTTGAACTCGACAAATGAAGGGAAGGTGTGGTCAGCACTTTGCACTGCGCTTTCACTTTGACTGACATTAGTTAGGTACTGATAAATTTTACATTAATTATGGTTCGGTTCAGGTTTGAAGTATTGATGTTGTAAATGTTTATGTTGACATGCTGACGCGGTATTGACTTTATGCAGAATGTCGGTGTTTGGAACGAAATTTGGCATAAGTAAAGATAATTGTTTAAACTTTGTTTTGCTATCCCAGTAACTTAATTCGCGTTTTTATTTGATGTCGTTTGTTGCTTAAAAAAATTAATTC